TTATTCTGCCATGTTTACACCACTACCTCTTATTAAAAAAAACTTTTGAAGTGCCCAGCTGATCCCTGTGAGGGCAAAGACACGGGCTTGAACCACTTGAATCCTAGCTCCTCACAGTTTCATTCGCTGCCCCTTTCTGGAACTGGATGCCACATCCGTGTGTTCTTTTTATGCTTCACTTGTCTTGGAACCACTCAAAACAAAGCGGTGTCTTGTGACTGGTGAGAATGTATTCTTCAGATAAATAGCAAAGATGCCTTGTGGACAAGCCTGGGCTCAGAGTGAATCCTTCAACGCTACAGAAATCACAGGTCAAGATGTGTTCTAGTTCCATGTCTGATGCTTGCTAAAACACCCTAGCCAACTGCAATTTAGAGGAGGAAAGAGCTTGTCTTCTAATTCCAGATTACAGTCCATTCCCGAGGAATAGTCAGGGCAGGGACTCAAAGCAGCTAATCACATGATATCCACAGTCAAGACCAGAGAGAAATAAATGCATGCTTGCTGCTGACCACTCAACCAGAATGAATTCTGTAGTTCAGGGCCTCCCGCCTAGGGGATGGTCCTGCCCATGGTGAACTAGGTCAATTAACAATCGAGACAATCCCCCATAGAGACATCCACAGGCCAACCTCATCCCTTATTGAAATTACAATAAAACTAACCGACACAAGGTGTTTTCCTGATGTGACCTAACACATGTTTGATATGCCCCGGTGTTGCGTAATCACGTTGGGCGTCAAGACCGTTGATGACACGCTTCAGGATCACTCACAGTACTAAGATTTCTTTTTGTTTCACTACTACAAAACTGTTATCTTTTTCATATTCCCTTTTATTCAGAAAAGTCACATTTAGCCGACGTCTGTGTTGTCTTCCCATCTTAGAATCCGTATGCCTTAGACAAAATGTAAAGCATCTCGTCACCGAGAGCCACCATTTAAATACAGTTTACTTCAAGGACCCTAAATTGGAGTCAGATGGTGTAGGCCTTTGCTGGTTATGAGCTGGCTGCTTATGCAATCTGTGAGCTCAGATCTCTCATCTGTGTTCCATTTCATTAACTCATCCAGCTGGGCACTTACCCGTTACCATGCTCCAGAAAAGATTTGAAGTTGCCTTCAGAGCAATAAGACAAATTTAAAAAGGAAAAAAAGTAGATAAAAGGTAAATTAAAAAGGAAAGAATTACATTGCAACCTGAAATAAGCCTAAAAACTTATTGTTTTGTTTTTATTTTTTGATTTTTTGGGGCAGGGTTTCTCTGTAGCTTTGGAGCCTTCCTCGAACTCGATCTATAGACCAGGCTGGCCTCGAACTCACAGAGGTCCACCTGCTTCTACCTCCTGAGTCCTGGGATTAAAGGTGTGGGCCACCACCACTTAGCTCCTAAAACTGATTGAGAGTACTTGCTACCTTGAGGGCCACCACTTCGAGCTGAGCTACCTACCTGTACAGAGGGCATTGTACAGGCTGGTTTTGTGTGTCAGCTTGACACAAGCTAAAGTCATCAGAGAGGAAGGAACCTCAGTTGATGAAAAGCTTCCATGAGATCCAGCTGAAAGGCATTTTCTCAGTTAGTGATCAGTGAGGGAAGATCCAGCCCCTTGTGGATGGTACTAACATTAGGACCAGTGAGATAGCTAAGTGGGAAGAGGCATCTGCTACCAGCCCTGATAACCTGAGCTTGGTTCCTGGGAGCCACACGATGGGAGGAGAGGACTGCCTTCCCCTAAGTTGCCTTCTGACCTACACGTATGCACCTACCCACAAACACAAATAAATAAACAAACAAATAAATAAATAAATAAATGAGACAAAACAAAGTTAAGAGTTATGCCAGTTAGGTAAATCCATAACAGTACCATGCTCAAGACCATCTCTGGTGAATAAGTACTATATAAGTTATTAAGATAATTAAGTTCCATTCTTATCCTTAACTTCTTACATCCCGCCCTTGAAATCATGTGTTATTTGGTCATTTACTCTTTTAGTCCACTAGGAGGCATGGTTCCAGTATCGGGTAGCGCTGGTGCCAATTGATGGAGGTTTAAACCGTAGAAGGTCCTGTAAGTTCCAGTGCTGTCCTTGTTGTCCACTCTGTACTAAAGACAGCATCCTGCATCGGACCAGTGGGGAAATCATAATATACATAGCAGACTGGAGTCTTCTGTTTGATTTTCTCTTTTGTATATTTGGGGAAATAATGCTTTGTAAATATGCTTTTCTTCAACTCTGTTGGCTCTGACGCTCTCAGGTCTTACAAATGATGGTTACTTGTCAGCTGTTCTGCTAAGTAGTATCAGAAGAGCATGCAAAAATGAGGCTGAGAGTGTAGCTCAGAGGTGAAACACATCAGCTTTTTGTTATGTGCTTGTTCTTTATGTCTTGGATTTTGGAGACATAATCTTACTATGTAACTCAGGCTGGCTTTTACCACATGGCAATCCTGCTTTAGCCCCTGAAGTTCTGGGATTGCTTTAGCTAGCCCCTGAAGTGCTGGGCTTGGGGATGTGAGCCACCAATCCAGGCCCCTTTGTTTCTTTAAAACATCTGATGATTAAGATGTTTATGGTGCATTGTTGATAGGCCAACCCTTGCAGTTCCTGAGACCTGAGTTTCCTCCGCCTTTGGTCTGCTGGCTTATGCAATGACTAACCAAAACTGATGCAGACCTAGATTTGGGGTTCAGAGTGTTGACTGGGGATCAGTACCATGTGGGGCAGAATCAGCAAACTGGTAGGGCACTATTGAGATGACCTCTGAAGCCTCAGCATGGCTGGATGCCCTGTTGGGTGATGCAGACCCAGAGGGAGCTAAGACCAGAGCCGAGTGACAGGGCCGTCCCTGAGGGCACCTGTGCATCCCTTCTCTTCTTGACCCCCCCCATCCGTGCCACCACTCTAGCTTTCCCCGTGTCTGACGGTCTCTCAGAGCTTGCTTCTGTCTACTGTCTGGAAAGCCTTGGGACTTGATTTAGGGAAACTGCTTCCAAAGTTGTTTGTCACTGATGGATGAGGAGACAGGGACTTGCCAGCTCCCTTCAAGGATTGCAGCTGAGAACAGGGGTCTCAAGTTCCCTTCTCCATCACTTAATTCTCTGCTGGGTTCTATCCAGTACCCTCTCCCTGCCTCACCCCCTTTGGGGGCACCAGCTCTGCAACTGATTCTGGACACATCTGCTCCAGTTTTTGCTTCCTGTCCTCACTTACAGCCATCCAAGGCCCAGAAGACCAAATACCAGCCAAGCTTCCGGTTAGGGCCATCAGTCCCCCTTGTCATCTTCAGTAAACACCACTGATTATAGAACGCACTTCATGGGATATTTTACAGACTTCTACTTCTTCCCCTTGCTCCTTCTCTTTTCTTTGTTGCTCTTCTGGAGGTGGAAACTAAAGCCTCAGGCAAGTGCCCTGCGGAGCACTACACCCAGAGCCCAGGTTCTTTCCTTTTGAATGCTGATGCTCTATGTGGCTCTCCTGGTTTTGGTATTACAGATGGATGAGGAGCCTTCACATGTGCACATCCTCTCTATCACTACAGCTCTAAGAACTGCTATCAACCAGGGGGTGGTCCAGCTTTTGTCTTCAACTACATTGCACGAGGAAGGACTATCTGGGCCACACATAACGCTACAGAGGAATACTGATTCCTTTTAAGCCTGATTTTCTGGCGATTAAGAAAAAAGTTAGAATGCTGGGGCAGCAGCCAGTGATGGAGGACTTGCCTGGCATGTACAAGGCTCTAGGCTGCAGCCCAGCACCACAGAAAAGACAAGAAAAAAGAACTTGTTATTTCTTAAATGTAGTATTATTTTGTTTTGTTTCTCTACTCCAAAAGCATTTAAAACCAAAATAAATTGTATTAATGGATAGACTGTTGTCCCAAGCCAGGAACTCAAGGAAACTTATTTATTTAGTTGTTTATTCTAAAAGTCTCTCGATCCCTCCCTCTCTCCTTCCCCTCCTCTTCTTCCTTCTCAGCCCTCTGGGGTGTGTGTGTGTGTGTGTGTGTGTGTGTGTGTGTGTGTGTGTGTGTGTGTGTGTGTGTGTGTGGTGGCAGCTCACTGATTAAGAGGGCTTCCTGCTCTTCCTGAGGACCTGAGTTTGGATCCCAGAGCCCATGTCTGGCAGGTCACAAGGCCAGTAACTTCAGCTCCAGGGTATCTGACACTTTCCATCTTCGGAAGGCGCACACACGGATGACTTCTGTTAAAACAGACAAATCCACATACACCTAAATAAAAATAAATCCTTAAAAAAACCCGTAGCCACAGGCACAGTAAGGATTACAGATAATTTAATCTTCAAAAACACTTAGTGAAACAAGACTTTACAATGCAGTGTTAATTTGATGTTATGTGAAACTCTCAGTTCAATAGTGAACTGATGAGAACAGCAATTTTGAAACCCAGTTCACACATCACTTAGAGCCCTCTCTGCTGGAACCTTCCGGAGGCTGTGGATCTTTGAATGATGCTCACTTTGTATGAAAAGAGCAGCAGATAAGGAATTCATAATCCTTATTATTCAGCCCAAGAGCGAGGGGAGCTGTGATCTTGAGGCTATGACATCCATGTATTTATGAGTCTGCTTCCAGACATCATTTCTTCAATGCATTGCAGTTCTAATAAGCCTATAGTTAATTCTGAGAAATAAGAGGAAATATGTCTCTACTGATGATGCTGTGGCGTCACATACACATATACTTTTGAGCAGAAAGAAGGACACAGCAGTCGTTGCTTTTATTAGAAACACAAGTCATAGCCAAACATACTGGTTGCATGTTAAAAAAAAGTTTCTGAGGAAAATCTAGGAATGAAACAGAAGCCATGACATAGTATATAATGCAACTAGGTAACATGGTATAGGTAAACAGTGCTTAATAAAAATAATTTTAATGTAAGCTTAGCTAATTCCATGATTTCCTATTGAGAATATGGAATCGGACCCCAAGAATAACAGTGATCAAATTAGCTATCCAAGATAACGAGTTCACTTGTTAAAATTTGGGAGCCAGTATTGGGCATCTGTACCCATGAACACCAGGTCATGGGTGCATTCAGGGGCCAGATAGGGCAGTTTTGATGTTCCTGAAGAGATTGGTGACACTGAGAACCCAGCAGTGTGAAACAATGGTCAGCATTGGGTCCCAGAAAGCAGTGCCTCCAGGAGAACGCTGGCTTCCAGCAGCACATGGGGCAGCTCAACCTTTGTGTAGATGGCCCGAGGCCTGCTTGGGAGAGTAAATTCACATTCTGTGAATCTCTGAGTCATGGCAGATAACCAGCTGCTGTAAACCTTGATAAGTTTGCAGGTGACTCTCCCTTGGGACCTCAGAGGGTCCCAGGACAGGAGTCGTGAGACTTTTGCCGTCTTGAAAGACATCTCCCAGGCTATGTGAGGGCTCTGCACCTGTTGGTTTGATAAACTGGTAGACACATCAGTGCGACAGTAGGAACACCTAGGTGAATTGTGCCCTTTGGCCAGTTGGGAGGGTTGCCCATCCATAAATTCCAGTGCTTGAAAACAAAGTAAATATTTGTACCAGCAGCTTAAAGACATAGCTCTGAGGGTTAAATAGCTACTGTTCCTCTTCTTTTTTCCTGAGTCAGGACCTCAGGATATAGCCCATGCTAACCTCAAACTCAGGGTCACCATGGTTCCACCTCCCAGGGTTGGGATTACAGGTATATACGACCGTGCCTGATGACTTTCCTAGCCTTGCAATCTGGAAGCTAAGCATGGAGAAGGGAGAGAGCAAAGATTCCTCTGATTGCCGTGTGCTTGTCAGCAGTGGTAAGAAATGAGTCAATGCTAAAGATGTTTTGACTTTTTTTTAAAGGGCACCAAACAATAGATATTCAAGAAAAAAATCATAGCATTGTGGTATGCTGGTACATTTTAAAAGGGAAGCTCTCAAAGTTGTGGCCTAAAAGTAGCAGAATGCAGCAGTAAAATTTTTTTTCATTTTTTTAAATTTTATTTTCCAGTTTAAATTTAGATAAGAATCAAGGTTGCTTCACAAGTCAGTTCCAGGTCCCTCTCCCATTCCCTCCCTTCCTCCCGTGCCCTCCCCCTCCCCCCCCCCGTTATCCCCTCATTCCCCCAGGGAGGGTGAGGCCCTCCATGGGGGTGTGCATAGTGTGTCATTTCATATAGGGCAGGGCCTAGACCCTTCCCCAAGAGTTCAGGGTGAGAGTGCACCTCACATTGTTCTATGGGAGTCCAAAGTCCGTGTGTATACTTGGGATGGGTACTGATCTGCTGCCCAAGGCTCAATAGATTCCCTAGGCCTCTTCACTGACACCCAGATTCAGGGGGTCTTGATCAGTCTCATGCTGGCTTCCCAGGCTAATGCCTGGGATTCAAGAGTTAACCTTTGTCTGGTCAGCTGTTTCTGGGGGTTAAACCAGCCCAGTCTTAATCCCTTTGATCATCAGTCCTCCCTCTCTGTATTTTATGTCTGTAAAAAACAATGCCTTACCTTATACACATATGCAGCATTGGAAATTATCTTACAGAGATTCCTAGCGGCAGGGAACTCCCATCATGCATTTAAGATGTATTCCTGGACTAGCAGGATGTCTCGGTGGACAAAGTGCTTGCTGTGAAAGCTTGAGGCTGGGATCCCTGGAACCCACGAAAAGGCAGATGGGAAAGCACTTGTCAGTAATCCTGGCAAGGTGGAGAGGGGAGATGGGAGGATCATCCTCAGGAGCTCAAGGGCCAGCTAGCCTGGTGCCCCATGGGGAACAAGAACCCTGCCTCAAGATGGAAGGAGGGGCCTAGCACCCAAGGGTGATCTCTGACCTCCACATACATGACATGGCATGCATATACCCATCACACACACACACACACACACACACACACACACACACACACACACACACACGCATACACTCGGGCACACATGCATGCACACACATGATAAAATACTGTGTCTATGCACAGCAGTTTCTCTGAGAGTGTTTTGGGGAGCCCCCTGGTTCTTCTGGAGGTCCTCCCTCCTTGCTTTCCCTCCCTTATTCCTTCCCTCCTAAGCCTTCTCACCCTGTGTGTTTTGTTCCTCAGTGATCTGCGATCCTTTGTCCTTATACTCACATTCTTCAGCACAGAACATTGTTTTTCTGTGGGGAAGGGACTCACTGTGTAGCCCAGACTAGCTCTGAATCTTGCATCAGCCTTTCTAGTCCTGAGATTAAACCTGTGCACCACCACCCCCAGCCCGCACAGGGCAGCTCAAAAGCACCAGGTTTCTCCCTAGTTCCTGTGGAGGACCAAAGTTTCCTTCCTAGTCTGTGAAAATAGCAAGGACGGAGAGGAGGAGGAGGCACCTGGGGATTCCCCCACACCATCCTGTGACTCAGAAGGTCACCATTTGCCATCTTTGTAAGTTCAGACATAATTGGGGAAGTTGGGAGAATTTCCAGTGTGAATTCTGTACAAGTCATCAAATATCATTACTGACTTGTATTTGGTGACACATTTGTATCTGTAGGACTGTCACTCCGCTGCCTTTCCTTGCTCTCGTAACCTTCACGGGATACCTAATATGTGTAGAGTGAGAGAATAGTGGAAGGTTTTCCTCAGCCACTGCTATACCATGTAAACTGTAGCCCTTAACAGTCACCCCCTGGATTAACCATGTGACAGCTGTTCTCATAGAGTTGCTTTGTGATGCCTCTGCTATGGTTTGTTTCCATTGTCAACTTGACAGTCTAGGATCACCTGGGAATGCCATCTCAATAAGGCACTGTCTAGATGCTTCCAGGGGCATGTCTGTGGGGGTGCCTAATTAGTAAGACAACTCACGCAGTGTGGGTGACACCATTCCCTGAGTAGGGCATCCTGAATTGTGAAGTGGAAAAAGGCAGTCGAGGGCCAGCATGCCTGCATCCATTCATTCAGTGTTCTGCTTTAGACTGGGTGTGACGTGAGCGGTCTCTTCCTGCCCCTGCTGTGTTGACTTCCCTGCAGTGATGGACTGTAACTGGAATTGTGAGCCAACTAAACCTTTTCTTCCTCACGTTACTCCTGTCACAGTGTTTATCACAGCAACTGGAGGTGAAACTGAGACACTTATCTTTCTATGGCTGACACATGTAGCAGGCTTCCTTGGACCACCAGCCCCCAAATCATGACTGGGAGACTTATTATTAGTTATGAATGCCAGGCCTTATCTATGCTTGCCCCACCAGCTCCGGTACCCTATTTTAACCATTTCTCCTTATCTGCATTTTGCCTCAGGGCTGTTTGCTTTCTTCCATTCTGTAGGTCCTAATTTCGCTGCTTCTTCCGTGTCTGGCTGGCTCCCTTTTCCCTCATCTGTCTTCCCTCCTCTGGAGCCTGGATTCCCCTCCTCCTCACTCTCTCTGCCCACCTGCCCTGCCTATCCCTCTACTGCCCAGCTATTGGCCATTCAACTTTTTATTAGACCAGTCAGGTGCCTTAAGCAGGCACAGCAACACATCGTTAAACAAACGCAGCATACACAAATGTGACACATCTTTACATCATTAAACATATGCAACACACCTTTACATAGTTAAAATAATATCCTGCAACATAAGCAAACTAATCCCATCTTAGCCTGGTTAAAAAAAGATTCTACAACAGACACATACATTCCTTTTCCTTGTGTGATGTGTTTCTTTTATTATGACATCATGAGAACGCTTGGGCCTTCCCCTTCATCGAAAACCAAATCGTACCTTTTCTTTCTGCTTTCAAAATCCAGAACATTCAGATTTCTAATTCTGAGAGCTGAGAGTCCTAATACAATTGTGAACAAAGCAGTGAGGGGGTGTACATTGCCGAGTATTTGTAAGGTGTACCTTCAGTCATTTTCTTTCTTTCTTGTTTTATAAGTATATGGGTGGGCTGGAGGGATAGCTCAGCCGTTAAAGGCTAGGCTCACAGCCAAAAATGTAAGTATATGGGTATTTTACCTGCATGTCTGTCTTTGTACCCTGTGCATGCCTGGTATCCACAGAGCCAAAAGAGATCTTAAACCCTGGGGCTGCAGTTACAGATAATTGTGAGATGCTGCATGGGTGCTGGGAATCAAACTTAGGTCCCCTGGATGAGCAGCCAACAGTCTTAACCACTGAGCTATCTCACCAGCTCCTTGAGTTATTTTTTGAATTTGTTTAATATATTTACTTATTAAATGATCTTTACATGCTATGGACAAGTGTTGGGGATTTGATAATGAGCAAAATAGAAGCAGTGGTCCCTTCATGGAGCATACATTGTCAAAATATACTACACTGAGTTGAGTCCTATGTAAATAAAACTCAAAAGATAATTGTTGACCTTTTAGGATGCAGAGAATGAAAATAGAGGGTGAGATAAGGTTCCTACAAACTGGTCAAGGCTCTGGGCAAACCCCACATATACTGGGCACATGCTCATGGAAGAATTGGGCAACAAGTTAAGAAAGGAGAGAACCAAGAGAGAAAAACCAAATAGGTACCTCAGAAGCCAAGTGGAGATCAGGCAGTAAAGACCTTGAGAAGGTCACGTGCTCAGTGGGCAGCCTGAGAAGCATCTGTCACATTTACTGACCGGTGAGCCATTGGTGCTCTTAATGAGGGCAGATGCCCTGAAGAGGTAGGGGGCAAAATTCATGGGGAAAAGAAGTTCCAGAATGAATGGAAGACAAGGAAAAGCCATAAAACAAATGCAGTCTGTCAGGAAGTTGGTCAGGAGGTCATGGGTGAAAAAGGATATGAATCAAATACAGGCCTGGCTCCATTTCACTTTCTTCATCTGAGCACAAGGTGGGGGGGGGCTTAAGCATGCCCATACATGTGAATGTAGGTATGCCTGCTCCACAGAGCACGTGTGGAGGTCAGGGAAGGTCTGGGCTCTGAGTCCTTGCCCTCCTCCATGTGGGAGGCAGGATCCCTGTTATTCTTTCACAGCCTGTACAAGACTGTCTGGCCCTCACACATCCAAGGATTCTCCTATCCCTGCCTCACCTATAGAGGAACCTGAACAGACTCGTGCACTACAGCACCCTGTTCTAACATGGATTCTGAGGAGTCAAACTCTGCCCCTCATGTGTGCACAGCAAGGGCTCTTACCCACTAAGCCATGTCCTCAGACTCCCATTTTCACTTTCTGTTATAAGAATTTTCAAACATGAAGGAAATTTATAACATACCCTGTAGCGTGTAGTTTTCTTCCGCCAGCCACTTTGGTTTCTCCCCCGCCAGCCGCTTGGGCTCTGCCACACCTGCAGTTCCCAAATAACACACAGGAGGCTATGTTATAATCTAAGTATTTCTCTTACCGGAGAAAATGGTACGGACATCTTACTTCTCTGGCGGCTACCTTGTTTCTGCTGTGTCTCTCTGTAAAGAGAAGCTTTCCTTGCTAGCCGCTTTGGTTTATCACCCGCCAGTCGCCTGGGCTCTGCTGCGTTGTAGTCCCCAAATAACACACAAGACGCTGTATTAATTATGAAGCTGTTGGCCTTGCTTGTTTCTTCCTGGCTAGCTCTGACTAAAGTAATTACCCCATAATTGTCAATCTATGTATTTCTCTTACCGGAGACATTCCGGGCTTCCTACCCCATGGCCGTTACATCTCGAACTCTCTTGTGTTTCTCCTTCTCAGAGTTCTCCTGGACTCCTAGTCCCTCCCATCTAGATTCCCTATAGGCTCAACAGTACTTTATTGACAAATGCACAGGACTTCCCCCAACATCTCCTCTTTTCTGTTTAAACAAAAAGAAAGGTCTTAACTTTAACATAGTCAAATCATATATAACAGAACAGTTATCAAGTAAGAACACAGTTACAATATTTTGTCAACATTTAGCAAGGATTTAAAGGAAATATCATCCATCCCATCCTTGTGAGTCTAAAGTTCTATATGTAGCTTATCTTTTATCATAACTAAGGAAAACTATAATTATAACTATCTGTCTTCAACTCCATCAAAGACCACGGAAGGATAATATATAAACACTAGGATTGACAGAGGTATCTTACTGCCTGGACAGTCACCCGAAGTTCCTCTGTAACGTTGGGGCATCCATCTTCAGCCCATAGGCCACAATGTGTCTGGAACACTTCTCAGCAAAGCAGGAAATTTCAAACTGTCCATCTGCGCTGGCAGTCTGTCAGTCATTTTTCTTTGTCCTGTAGAAAGTCTCTTAGACTCTTTCATGAAGCAGGAACCCTGTAAGACTGAGTTCAGCAGTCACTTTCCTGTGGGTCCTGCATGTCCAGTTTATACAGCAACAGACAAACAGTCTAGGCAAGAGCAGTTTCTTGCCCAAATGGCTAATCTTGCCATGTTGAAAGCAAACTCCATAACAAGTTTCTTCGATGCCCATCTTCCTCTCAGACATAATTGGTGCTGCCAGGAGCAGACATTTCTCATTGTCAAGAAAACCCTAAACCATTTTAAATGCCATTTTCTGAAGGTCTTTAAAAGGTTTGAAGACTGTATATCTATCTCAAATACATCTCTATATATCTAGAAAACCTAACTTACCTAACAATAAGATCTGACTCTTATAAGTAACTATCTATAGCCTGTATTTAATTATGCATTACTTTTTAAAAGATCAGTATAAGCATAATACTTAATCAAGAGGAGAAATATACACATCACAAAATTGACCTTGAATTTGTCTCAATAAATGAAAAACAATACCCATACCATAATTCCCCTTTTTACCATTAAAAAGAGATTGGCTATGATCATTAACCAATTATAAACAATCCCATTTAAATGAAAACAAAGACTTATAAACAAGATGGGAATCAGGACGTCGCTCATTCCAAACTGCTTCCTGCTGGAAGGGGGCGCTGTTCACACCATGGGGATCATGACAAAACTCAGAAACCTGTATAAGTCCTTATTTTCATGGTCTGTAAAGCTCCATCATCTTAGCTGTCTCAATTGTTGAAACGCCTGGCCCACTGCTTCCGGGGGTCTTGGTTCATCAAACCACAGAAGCCTGGAAGGAATCCTCAGCTTTTCATTTTCTGTGGAAACATAAACTAAAACTCCTTTTCCGAGTAACATATTCTTATACTTAAATTTTGAAGTCAAGGCATTTTTAAAAGATAGAAGTTGGATTAATTCAGCAGCATTTATAATCAAGTGTACTTTAGTAGCTGTTCCTTCCTGAGCAATTATAAAACTGAAAAACACAATAGCATATGGTATCCAGACTCTCTGTGTATTTTCCATCTTTACGTGGCTTATTTATTTATCTATTATTAGTTTATTTAGTTTACTTTTATTTATTTTTCTTTGAGACAGGGTTTCTCTTTGGAAATCTGCCTGCCTCTGCCTCTGGAGTAAATCCTACCAGTGTGCGCCACCAAAACGCCGGCTTTTGTATTTATATACCACTTTGCCGTTTCATTTTCTCTCTCAGTCTCACGTATATTTTTAAACACCCTGTAAACCTTTAGAGGTTTTGTCCATCCAAGTCTGACTTTACTGTAAATCTTTACGTTTTTCTGGCCACGTGTCTTATCTGTAAGACCGCCGCTGTTTCCAAGATGGCAGGCGTAAGCGTGATTCCAGCTTACCACCTCAGTCCATGCTGACATCCAGCAAAAGCTGCCACTTCCAGCTGTATGTACACGCCTTTCAATCCTTAGCAGAGTCTCTTAAAACAACCTTGCTGTTTTTTGGGTTTTTTTTTTCTTTTTATGCCGAGTCAGGAAGACTCCGGTAAGCGAGCCACGTGAATCTCGGCTTGTTGATAACAAAACAGAGCCCACCTGAGAAAATGCTGCTACCAAAAATCTGTGCTTCTCTCCGTTCTTCTGTTTCTAAAATTCCTTTAAATCTTTTGTTATTTTGCCTGGAAATTCAATCCCGCTCCTGACAACCCCAAATAACACACAAGGTGCTGTATTAATTATGAAGCTGTTGGCCTTGCTTGTTTCTTCCTGGCTAGCTCTGACTTAAGTAATTACCCCATAATTGTCAATCTATGTATTTCTCTTACCGGAGACATTCCGGGCTTCCTACCCCATGGCCGTTACATCTCGAGCTCTCTTGTGTTTCTCCTTCCCAGAGTTCTCCTGGACTCCTAGTCCCTCCCATCTAGATTCCCTATAGGCTCAACAGTACTTTATTGACAAATAACAGGCAAATAACAGGACTTCCCCAACAGTCTCTCTTTCCCAGAATCCTCCTCAACTCCTAGTCCCACCTATCTTGCTTCCCAACGTGCTTTATTGACACATACACAGGACTTTCCCATCAATACCAATGGTTACAACATTTTGAGGTTTCCCTGAATTATTTGAAAGTAAACAAACACATCTGTAGTGTTTCTCTCTAAATGCTTCAATTTGCTTCTCTGAAATGTAGGTCCTCCCACTCTAGCAAAAATATGGACAGTTAATCAATCCCTCACGACCACTAAATAACTAGTGAGGGACACCCAATTAGCTTCCATTGGTGCCTGTGGGTAGAGGGAGTGTTTGGGTCTTCGCTCAGTTTTGTGAAGGAATCTGCAGTCCACTTAAACGTTCTGTAGGTATTACCAGGGGTCATGGAATCCTGAACTGAGGGGAGACAGTGGTGCCTGAGAACTCAAGGTAGATCCTGGGCCAAATGGAGGGAGGTGTTGGAAGGAGCCTGACCCTCACCTCTGTGCCATAGTAAGAAGCCGGCAGTGGAACCAACTGGAGACTACCTGAGGATGTGACAACAGGAAGCGGGGGTCGTTCCCTCCAGTGGCACCTGCTGTAGGATGACTTGTATAAGGACAGAGTCCAGGTCTCTCTGTTACATGTTATACTGTCACACACAGTGCGTGGCATGTAACAGATGCCCAGTAGACATGTTTATAAATGAATATTGAGAGTAAAGGTTGGGGGTTAAGATTTGAGGGGAACAGAAAAGATCCAGATAACAAACACTCCTTCTGCACTATTTCAATCTCTTAAAAACCCTGTCGTTGGGTCATTTTGTCCCCTGAAAATGTTTTTGTTTTCCAAATGCAAGGGGTCACAGACGTTGAGCATTTCATCCAAGGTCACACAGCATGTGACTGGGTCATGTAGTATTCTAGTGGGAACTGGAGGCATTGGTTCACCATCTCTGGTTCAAGGGTTGCCTCTAGAACAGTGGTTCTCAACCTGAGGGTCAGGACCACTTTGAGGTGTTGAACAACCCTTTCACATATCAGATATTTACATTATGACTCAAAGCAGTAGAAAATGGCAGTTATGGAGTCATAACAAAATAATTTTGTGGTTGGGGGGGTCACAACATGAGGAACTGTATTAAAGGGTCAAAGCATCAGGAAGGTTGAGAACCACTGCTCCTAGAAACTTCTGTCCTTTTGTGCGCAGAAGGAAGGAAAGATGTCTCAGCAGTTAAGAGCACTCGTTCTTGCAAAGAACCTACGTTCTACTCCCAGCACCCACATCGTGGCCCACAACCATCATTAACTCCAGTTCCAGGGGATCCAACACCCTCTCCTGACCCCTGAGGGCACCAGGCAAGGCCCTCATATGCATAAAATAAAAATAAATCTATGAATAAAAACTTTGAAAAGTTTGTGTGCAGAGTTGCCTGGTCTATGGTGAGGGGCCTAAGGAACGCCTTGCTTCTGCACCAGCACTCAGCAGCTGGAACACTGCCCCAGGTCCCCGTCCAGAACCCCAGCCAGCGGGTAGAGTTTTCTCCCCTGCACAATTCCTCATCTGTAAGGTCTTCCTAGACTCTTAGTATCAGATGCAGTTTGGAGGCACTGACATGGAAAAGATGGGCTTTGATGTGATTTGTGATTTTGCACTTTGTTTACACACTTAGGAGTGGTGTTCATTTAATCTGTGTTTTCCAAAGTGTTCTTCTCAGAGCCCCGTGGGGGAGCTGAACCTTTGAGAACAAGTACATGTGATACTTGTTGACAGAATTCATCAGAGTTGGTTGTTTTGCCATGTTATCTAGTCTTGGAGACAGGGAAGTTGTAGTGTGTAACCTGTGGACATATTTTCAAAAACAAAAATTTTTTTTTTTTTGGTTTTACAAGACAGGGTTTCTCTGTATTGTCTTGGAGGCTATCGGTCCAGCCCAGCCTCGAACTCACAGAGATCTGCCTGCCTCTGCCTCCCGAGTGCTGGGATTAAAGGCGTGCGCCACCACCGCCCAGCAAAAACCAAAAGTTTGTTGATTTCCTGTATACCACTCAGTTTCTTTAGCGTGATTCAGTGTGACTATGGGTAGTTCCTCTGTGAGCCAGGCTCTCTGTGGCTCT